TATACATATATATATATATACATGTATATATATATGCACTAAATTAATAACACAACGGGAAAACAGCTGCGGGACCCACCGTGATGAATGGCGAGTGATGGCTGTGTGTAGAAAGCTCACGTCATTGTTACCAATTTAATGCGATCTAAGATCCCGGTGAGCATTTCCGTGAAGCGGCGTGCGAAGCTCCCTCGCTTGCTCCGAGAACTCACGTCGCCCGCCACGAACCCTGTGAACCTTCTCCCTTCTCATGTGACCTCCTCCAAGGCCCCGTTCTCCTCCCTGATCCCCGTTACTCCACTTCCACCAGTCCTCGCTCACAGGTTTCGATGCCCGACACTTAATTCCCAACCTCCTCTATAAATCCGCCAAGCCATACGCCTGCCTTCAACAAGGAAGACATGGGGCCTTCTTCTTTCCTCCTCCTCCTCGCCATCGTCGTCCTCCTTGCTCCTGCGGATGCCACTGCAAGAAGCATCGGCCAGTCTCCTTCAGGTGTGTCCTCTTCCCTGACGAGTGGAACCCCGGCGAGATCACCGACGAGGTTAACAGCAGCAGGGAGGGCACAGGGGAAGCTGGAGACGCTGCAGGTGGCCGGATCCAGTCTTCCGGACTGCTCCCATGCGTGCGGGTCATGCAAGCCCTGTCGCCTGGTGATGGTGAGCTTCGTGTGCGCGTCGTTGGAAGAGGCAGAGACATGTCCCATGGGATATAAGTGCATGTGCAACCGCAGGTCTTACCCTGTTCCCTGATGTGTGTGTAGAAAGCAGAGAGTCATGAGCAAATTTTGCGTAGATTAGCTTTTGGAAGGAGGATTGGCCCAATCCTCCTCAACTAAATATTTTCTCATGTCAGGATGTGTAATCGCTTGATGCAGTAATAGAATCTTCTCTTTTTTCTTAGGGGAAAAATATAAACAAAAATATATCACCATCAAACAAATATTATGTATATACATAAAAAATCAGACACCATATATATTTCTTTTTACTAAAATGCCAACTGCCCTCATGCCCGGCTATTTAGTACTGAGCGACGTCGACGGCGTCGGACTCGTCGACGACACGGTGGGCGCCAGGGTGGAACCTGCAGTCGGTGCATCTGGTGGAGAGGAAGGAGGCCACACGGTACTTGTCCTCTACCCCCGTCATCGGCATCGGAACCCCCTTCTTCGCTGGGCTTACGTAGTCCGGCCGGTGGGTCTGCCCTAGTATGCCCTCCACCCGCTCCGTCAGGCTGCCGAACCTGAACTGCGTCTCCAAGTGCGCGAAGGTGTCGCCCGGCGGCAGCCGGTAGCCGTGCGCCGGGTCCTCCCCCTCTGTTATCGGCACCACCTTCACGTCCGTCTCCACCAGCCCCCCAGCGTCACCCTCACGCTGTTCGTCTCCCCGGTCCTCTCCACCACCACCTCCCGACCATCCCCTTCCCCCCCGGCCCTAACGCGCCACTCCGCCTCGCCTTCGGTGGGGACGGTCACCTTCTTTCCGTCCCAACGTGCCGATGACCAAGGTGTGGGACTCGAACATGACGGCCAGGGCTTGCACCCAGGTAAAGTCGCGGGTCCTCCCCTCCGGCCGCGTGCCGATGAAGTGCACGTTGATCTGGAACTGGTCGTCGGACACCAAAGCGAAGTCCTCTCCCTTGGCTCCATGGAAGTAGAACATCTGGCCGTCTCCCCCCACGAACCGAGGATCGTAGCACACTGACCCATAGCCACTGCAGTTGGGCAACCTATCTGCAACATCCAAGATCCGATATTTAAGATAATTTTTATACAAATTTAATTTATTGTTTGATTTTTTTTTTGTTTGTTTGGACAAACTCTAATTTTCTTATTCGATTTTTGTACAAACTTAAATTATATTGTTCTTATACTACAACAGTGGAATAAAATGATTTTGTTTTTTTCTAAAACAACGCATTACGTCACCCCTGTTTGCACGACTATTCGTAGATCTGCTGGATTGGATAGAGCCTAATATGAGCATCGTAGAGTGATTGGATGATGCACGCAAGATTGATGGCCGAGCCACTTTTAAGTCAGCGAGGTTATTCTTGACTTTTTTGTTCACGTGACGTTTTGTGTTTTTCCAAAGCAGAGAAGAAATCTTCATCTACAATCATTGGAGAGCTCGTTTTGTGTTTTTCCAAAGCAGAGAAGAAATCTTCATCTACAATCATTGGAGAGCTTAGAACAACAAAGTCAAATCCATAGGTCAAGTATACAGTCATTTGACTCATCGGAGCTAGTTCGATTTGGAGCATATCAATGGGCGAAAATTATTCTGATGTCAAAAGAATAAATATAAAGTAAAAAAATAATAAAATTTCAATTATCTACGTTCCTGAAGAATAATATACTACATTCTTTATTGTATATGTTCAATCATCTAATCCAAACTCAAGAATTAAAAGTTCTTTTCTTTAACCTCTCACATAAATATTAGGCACAAGCAATATTAGAATCTATTCTTGCATACCCATTCTAAAACATTTGACACACATTGATTATTTGTATAATAAATAACTTCTACTTTTAAAAAAATCTATTTTGATTTAAAATTATTTCTAAACTTGAATTTCTTATTCTCTAAATAAATTATTTTTACCAAAACCATACTTCCAATCTCAACAATCTTTAGGAAAGGCTATTCATAAGGATAGATTGAAATCGTTGGTTGGGAGTCAACTCTCTTTACTTGTGTGAAATTCGTTACAAGGATCTTTTTATATTGGGATGAGTTGAGCTACTTGAGTTTGAAATAATTGTTGAACTGTCAATATATCTCGATGGATACATTGTGAAGCCAATGAGAAACTAAGAAAATTTTATATTTTTAGTATGTATTTAAAGAAAGATGTTAGAGTGAATGTGTAAATGCTTTGAGTGTTTGATAAATAATAGATTAAAAAAAATTATATTTTAAATATATAATGTTGTTTGGTAAAATTAATATTTTAAAAGTCCATTAAATATTATATAATAAATTTAAACCTTTAATATTTTTAATATTTATTCAAAAGTGAAAAATAATAAGTAAATAAATGAATAAAAAAATTACTATGGGTTATATATATATATATATATATATA